TGCTGCCTGGGCAGTCAGCAGGAAGGGCAGCCGGGAAGTCACCTCCTCCTGGCTGACCACAGTGACCACACTGGGTGTCAGCTCTGCCCATCTTGGGAGCAGATCTTGGAAGGAAACTGTCCGTCAGTGACCTGGGTCACACCCCCACAAGGGAGCTGATGAGCAGGAGACTGAGACAGGGCAGCTCTGTGCTCATCCAACCTGCCCCGCTGGGCTCGGCCAGGCCGGCCACAACGCTCCCGTGCATTGTTGCTGGTTCCCCTGCAGGCGGGTCCCACCGCAGGCCTCTATGGTGAGGTGGCGATCCTCGGGCACACACAGCGTCCTTTGACTTCAGACCCAGCTCGGCACGAACACCTGCGCATCCACGTCCAGAGCTGTCCCTGGCACTCCATGCACATCCTAGTGCCCAGATCCGCCCAGATCCTGGTGCCAACTCGGAATTGTCCTCTGGACGTCCCACGATACTCAGGACCATCCGGGTGGCTGGGAGACTCCAGGTGTCACAGGTCCCTAGACTCACTCAGGCCCCACCCGCCGGCCTGCGGATGGAGGGGACGATTCCAGGCACAGCACCCTGCTTCCCTACACGGTAGCCCCAGGAGGGCCAGCCTCCCCATGTCTGATCAAGAGCCTTGGTGAGAAAGATACAAATATAGGGATCCGAAGGGGTACGTGCACCCCAATGTTTATAGCAGCAATGTCCACAATAGCCAAACTGTGGAAAGAGCCAAGATGTCCATCGACAGATGAATGGATAAAGAAGTTGTGGTATACATACACAATGGAATACTATGCAGCCATCAAAAGGAATGAGATCTTGCCATTTGCAACGACGTGGATGGAACTGGAGGGTGTTATGCTGAGTGAAATAAGTCAGTCAGAGAAAGACATGTATCATATGACCTCACTGATATGAGGAATTCTTAATCTCAGGAAACAAACTGAATGTTGCTGGAGTGGTGGGGGCTGGGAGGGATGGGGTGGGTGGGTGATAGACATTGGGGAGGGTATGTGCTATGGTGAACGCTGTGAATTGTGCAAGACTGTTGAATCACAGATCTGTACTTCTGAAACAAATAATGCAATATATGTTAAAAAAAAAAAAGAAGAAGAAGATAGCAGGAGGGGAAGAATGAAGGGGGGTAAGTCGGAGGGGGAGACGAACCATGAGAGACGATGGACTCTGAAAAACAAACTGAGGGTTCTAGAGGGGAGGGGGGTGGGGGGATGGGTTGGCCTGGTGATGGGTATTCAAGAGGGCACGTTCTGCGTGGAGCACTGGGTGTTATGCACAAACGATGAATCATGGAACACTGCATCAAAAACTAATGATGTAATGTATGGTGATTAACATAACAATAAAAAATTAAAAAAAAAAAAAGAGCCTTGGTGAGGGTGAGAGCCTTCCAGACAGCGCAGGAAAACTGGGGCAGAACTCCAGGTGTAAGAAAAGTTTGTAGAGGCTCTGTCACAGTGTGCCGACCTGCCTGGGGGTGGGAGCAGTCAGGCTCCTGACAGGAGCCGCTGGAGGAGGCCTCCCTGGAGGAGGCTCGCGGCCCCATGGCTCTGAGTGCTGCCTTTCAATTCTTATGTGCAGGCGGCGGCCACCAGTGGGTCACTTGGCTAATAATACCCCAGATTGGATTTTCAATTTGCTAATTTAAGTAATGTGATGCGTATGATTTGGTTTGAGCTTTATATATTCATGTCCAAGATCCATAGCTGTAGGTTCAGGGAAAACTTCGCCACTGACCTGGAGCTGCACGTTGGTGTTCTGTGGCTTTCGGTTTCAAAAGGGAGAGCTCTTCCCTTGTGGCCATCCCTAATCACAAATGCTAGCTATCCGGCCACCTCCTGAGCCCTGCTGTGGGCCCCACCCGCCGTCACCTGCCCCTGCATCTCACCTGCAGAGGCAGGGCCAAGGGTTACAGCCCAGCGTGCGAGGCAAGCCCAGAGTGGAGGGAGCAGGTGTCTGATGGTGGCTGGTGTCGTGATCACTTACGGGGGATACTGACCCATGAAGCATTCCCGAGGGCCCAGTACTGACCTTTCATGCCCCGCAGGCTGCTGGGGGCCTCCCTGAGCTCCCCATGGCCCCTGTGGTCCCTGGCCCGGTTGAGGTTCATGTGCTTTAGGGCCTGTCCCAGCCAATGGTCCTGCATCGTGTGTGTGGTTTATGTGTGAGCAGGTGTTTGTGTGTGCAAAGGTGCAGATAGCTATGTGTGCACGTGCTGATCTGCACGCACACGTGTGTGTGTGTGTGTGCATGTGTGCACGCGTCTAGAGGAAAACATACCATGACGCCAGTCAGCAGAGGGTAGCCTCTGGACCTTGGAATTTGGGGTAACGTCGAGCCTTTGTGGTGTTATTCCGTGTGCTATTTCAGCAGCCTGTCTGAGCTGTGGGGCTGGGGGGTGCCAGGGCTCGCACTGGTGGCTGTGTTCTGCGAGGCTCTGCTGGGACCTGCCGGGTGCGGGCGTGGCGTGTGCTGGAGGTGTCCACTGGGTGTGAGCGTTGCATGTGCTGGAGGTGGCCTCCATGACTGCCAGCTCCAGCAGCTGAGCTGCGTGCATGCGGAGCTGCCTGTCTGCTAGAGCTTATTCCAGGAGCTGACTCTCCCAGCTCTGCTCATATCCGAGCCGGGCCTGCTGGCCTTGCGACTCTAGAAATAACGCACTGGAGTACTCACGGCCACATGGGGATGACTGCCGTGGAATTTTGCCAGACATGCACGGCCTTGGCGCTTGGCCGCAGATAGCCTGGGGGAACCCATGCCCACGGTGAGCAGTCAGCTCCGGACATGAATGCTACGCGACCAGTCACGTTTCTTTCATACGGTGTTGGTGAGGACTGCCGTGACGCACACACAGGCTCTGAGGTGTCTATTAAGCTCGGTGGCCACCTCCCCTCGGGCCTGTGGCCCCCTGGAAACCAGGCCACACATGACAGCTCGTGGCATCCCCAGGGGCTGGTGACTTTCCCACGGCCGCCTTAACAAAGCTCCGCAAACCGGGGGCTTCAAGCGATAGAACTTTATTCTCTCCCAGCTCTGCAGGCCGGAGTCTGAAATCAGGTGTCCACGGGGCTGCGCTCCCTCTGGAGGCTCCAGTGAGGGCCCTTCCGCCCTCTTCCAGCTCCTTGCCCCCCAACCCCCCCAATCCCCGCTTCCTTGTGGCTTCAGTAACTTCCCTGTGTCTTGTCTTCTAAGGACACTTTTTGCTGGATTAGGACCCACCCCAATCCAGATGACCTCATCTCAAACCATTAATCACATCGGCAAAGACACTTCTTCCAAATACGGTCACACTCAGTGTATGGGTGCACCTGTCTTTTTGGGGAGACCCCCATTCGCTCCCCTCCAGGCCCCCGTGCAGGGCCCAACAAAGCTGCACTCCATGCTCGGTGGCTGGAAGGAGTCTGCCAAAAGAATCGGATGGCAGGAGCCTCTCCCAGCGTCCACCCGACACCATGGGCTCTGTGCGTGGTGAGGGGCAAGGAGTCCCCGTGGCCTGGTGAACCTGGATCTGAGGACACTTTGGGGTCCCGAGTCACCACTAACGGGGCCCCAGCCCTGGGTGAGGCCAGCAGGCAGCTCCCCAAGCCTCAGAGCACAAGCTGGTGGTGTTTCTGTGCCCCCCACGGCCTGAGGCTCCCGGCTCCCAGAAACAGCCAGGCTTCAGACCTGCCGGGAACCTCTGAATATGAAGTGGCCCAACCCAAAGGGTGAAGGGTGTGTCAGTGTCCTGGGGCTGCCGGACAAAGGACCACAGACCCGCAGCTGAAACCCCAGGCCTTGACTGTCTTAGTTCTGGGAGCAATGCCTGAGAGGGAGGTGTGACCACGACCTGCTCCAAGCCTATTTCCTTGCCGGTGGACGGTGTTCTCACGTGCTGTCCGCCCGTGTCCAGGTCTCCCCTTTCTCTACGACCCCAGTCACAGACAAGTGGGGCCCACGCTGACGACCTTAGTCACCTCTCTAAAGGCGCTGTGTCCCAACACCCTCACGTCTGAGGTGGCTGGTGGTTGGGGGTGTGCGGGGGGCCCCGGGAGCCTCGGGAGGCAGGATTACCTGGCCCCAGCCCAGCTCCTTTGGGTCGGGGGGAAGTGAGGGCCCGGGTGGGGCTCCAGGCACAGGGCTGGGCTGGGAGCTGCAGACAGAGGGAGCGTTGGTGCCGTTTCTTCCTAACTTGTCCACGTGGCTGCACAAGTGTCTTGTCATGACGTCTTTTTTTTTTTTT